TAGGAAATACTGAAATGTTCTCAGAAGATTTCAGCTCATAAGCTGTTAAATACAGCCATATTCTGATAACATTATATATACATTTATAACCATGCTCTGACAAAAGCTGACTCTCACTCTCTGGAACAGTGACATCATTCCTGCTATAGTGCTTTTCAGATTCAAGAAGTGTGGAATGATGTGGGTCCTTTTCGACTTGGATGTAAAACCTCAGTTGTAGAACTGGCAAAATACACAGATTGAGTGTAATAACAGTGATTTTCCATGGGACTTGTGCTCAGAATGCACAGTTGCTTGCTGTCAGACATCCATATGTGGCAAATATGTGAATAAAGCTGGTACTCATCCTTGAGCATTGTATTTATTAGGCACAGTATATGATTGGTTAATAAATGGTATCTTACCTAGACATAAAAACTTTATGACAGCAACTAAAAAGTAGGCAATGTTATACCTAGGGATGCTTCAGTTGTGAAAAGCAGAGTTTGTTACTTTATACCATTTGGAAGTAAGGGCAAGCACATCCTTTTTTCTTTGCAACTGAGCCATGAATTCAATCTATAAGACTGAAAAAGGTTTGGTGTGCTTCCTTCCAACTACAGAATGAAAGGACAGTTACCGACCACAGTATAATCGCATTGCTCTGTCTCCACTACTTAGCTATAAAAAGATATGTTCTAACACTTATCACTGTGCTTCCAGAAAAGCAGTCTATCTTGAAATTTGACATTTGGACTGTAAAGCCAGCAGAATGTGTAATTCAAGAAGGCCATTTGTGTCAGTGTTGTTGGTGATACTGTTCTAAATCAGAACAACAGAGAATGTGGTCCCTGATCATACGATGCCAGCTGAAATGTTGCAATCAATCACGGCTTTCCTGTCAGCACCTTGAAATGCATAACTACATCCAAAGTGGATGGGATTTCTTGAAGCAATATTCTCTGTTCCCAAAGCTGCGTGTTGTGGCCCTTGATATCACGTTCATCAATGACATGACAACGGGATCAAATGCACCCTCAGCAAGTTTATGGATGAGACCAAGATGCGGGGTGTGGCTAATGCCCGAGGGATGGGATGCCATACAGACAGACTCAGACCAGCTTGAGCAGTGAGCCCAGGAGAACCTCATGAGGTTCAATAAATGGACGTGCAGGTCTAGCACCTGGGACCCAGCAACCCCCATTATCAATACAAGCTGGGGGATGTAATCATGGAGCACAGCCCTGCCAAAAAGTACCTGGGGGTACTGGTGGATGGGAATCTGGACATGAAGCAGCAATGTGCCCTTGCAGCCCAGAAAACCAGCCATATGGTGGGCTGCATCCAAAGCAGTGTGGCGAGCAGGGCAACAGAGTGATCCTGCTCCTCTGCTCTGTGCTGGTGAGGCCTCACCTGGAGTACTGCATCCAGATGTGGAGTCTTCAGTCTCTTCACAAGAGAGATATGGACCTGTTGGAGTGCATCCAGGAGAGGGCCACAAAAATGATCAAAGGGATGGAACATGTCTCCTGTGAAGATAGACTGAGAGAGCTGGGGCTGTTCAGCTTGGAGAAAAGAAAGTGCAAGGGAGACCTGAGAGCAGCCTTTTAGTGTATGAAGGGGGGCTGTAAGAAAGAAGGGGACAGACTCTTTATCAGGGTCTGTTGTGATAGGACAAAGAGAAAAGGTTTCCAACTAAAGGAGGGAAGTTTGGGCATAAGGAAGAAGATTTTTACAATAGGGGTGGTGAAGCAATGGAAAAAGTTGCTTGGAGATGTGGTGGTCCTTGGTGACATTCAAGGTCAGGCAGGACAGGGCTCTGAGCAGTCTGATTGAGCTGTAGGTGTCCATGTTCATTGCAGGGGATTTGGACCAGATTACCTTTAAGAGTTCCTTCTTACTCAAAGATTCAGTGATTCTATGAAAATAGCAGAAGATTAATAGATGGTGAAAGTACGAAGATAGGACTTCAGATGAGCAAATAGGCTCTATTGCCTGTAACTACATAGTCACTACCTTAAACTGGAAAAGAAGCATTTCAAAATAAAAATAGAAAAGTATTACTTAAAACTACTTTGAAAAAAATCACATAGAAGTGCCTACCAATTGGCATTTAATCTATAATTAACCAACAGAATATTCACAAAGTATTACAGAACTCCTATTTACTGGATAACTTGTCTCAGCTTCTTCACAATGGAATGCATGGATCTTGTTAACACTGACATTTAAGGCTGTCCTTGAAAATAACATTTTTCCAGCATTACCTTTATCTGTCAATATCTTAGCATCTGCACTGCAGACAAATGCATTTGCTTCTTGATCCTTTTAAGGATCCCTTCACAGAATCACTGCCGTTTCTGCTCTCAGACTTGACACCAGTTATGGGTGGTAGAGACAGCAACACAATTAAAAGATAGAGGCATTTAGAACTGCTTTGAGTTAGCTTCATGGTCTGCCAGGACATCAGTGAGTGTTGCATACATTACAGAGCTTTATGCTCTGATATCTGGCACTCTTCTTTGGGTTGAAGTAACTTGGTTTCTAGCACAGGTGGTTAGCAGCTTTAAGGCAGACATCAGTGTTCATGCTACCATGTAGATACAACTGGTCACAGTGGTGTTCCCCACAGGTTGGTACAGGGGCTTGTCTATTTAATATTTTTATTGATGACTTGGACAAGGGGATTGAGTGCATCCTCAGTAAGTTTGTAGATAGCACCCCACTGGGAGGAAGTGTCAAACTGCTGGAGGATCTGAAGGCCCTTCAGAGGGATCTGGACAGGCTGGATCACTGAGATGAGACCAGTGGGAAGAATGGGACCAAATGCTGCATCCTGCACTTCGGCCACAACAACCCCAGGCAATGCTACAGGCTTGGGGCAGAGTGTCTGGATGACTGTGTGGAAGCAACAGACCTGGGGGTGTTGGTTGCTTGGCTGAACATAAGCCTCAAGTGCTGTGTTCAGTTTTGAGCCCCTCACTACAAGAAAGACACTTGAGGCCTTGGAGCATGTGTAGAGAAGGGCAACAAAGCTGGTGAAGAGTCTGGAACACAAGCCTTATGGAAGATGGCTGAGGGAACTGGGGTTGTTCAGTTTGGAGAAGAGGAAGATCAGGGGAGACTGTACCACTTTCTCTTTGTTAGGAAAAATTTGGTGGAAAATTCGGAAAAACTAGGGTGGTCAGGCACTGAATGGGCTGCCCAGATGGGTGGTTGAGTCACCATCCCTGGAGGTCTTCAAGAAATATTTAGTTGTTTTATTGAGGGTCATGGTTTAGTGAGGAAATATTTGTGGTAAGTGTATGGTTGGACTGGATGATCTTGGAGATCTTTTCCTTGGCTATTCCATGATTCCTTGACACTATAACAATTCTTGTTATATACTATAAATATATACAGTAAATTCTGAAAGAATCAGTATTTCCAACTATTTTAAGTCAACTGAGCACAGAACTGAATGGGATTTTAACTATTAGAGTTAAGCCCTGTCAACACATAGCAACACTATAGCCCAAAATGTTCTTATCATTGACGTGTTAATATCATTAAACAGATAAGCTGCCAAACAAACTCATCCAAGAAGTAGAACATTATGAATATTTTGAATTAACCTCAATTTTTTGTTTCAAATTATACATCAAAAACACATGAGCCATTGTTAAATGTAGCTTACAACAGCGTAATTGTTTTCAAATTACATTCAAAGAAGAATTCATACTTTAAAAGTAACACAGCACAATGGCTATTGAATAAAACGATTAGCTTTAAGCCTATTGAAATATTGTTAATTGATAATCTATTTAAAGCAAAGTAGCAACCACATAAAATAACCAATATGTATCCAATTAAATTTATAGAGAGCTTCTTGACGTGTAATTAAAAATTACCATGTCAGAAGTGGTCATAAATACTTCATCAAAACAGACAATCATAGGAAATTAAAAGTTTACAACATAATCTGACCACTCCCTCCAAAACCAATGTTCCTTATAATGTAGAACTCTAAATATTGGCCAAAGTCTCTCATCCAAATTCTACTACAGTAGAAGAAAGTGGAGATAAACATGCAAAAAAATTAACATCCCAAGTCCATTCTGTCTCAAATGCAAGCACATGATATCTCACTGTAGATTAATGTTATATATCAAGAAGAAAATTAGAAGTGTCTTAACAAATTTTCCCTCTCATTTGCAATTCTCAATCTGAAAATTCAGTCAATAAGATATAGACAGTGCTCTTGATAGTTTAAATAATCTTCTGCTACTCTCTAGTAGTTTTTCCTATTGGAGAAAGAACTAAGAAGAAAAATCATGACAGAAAGTAGTAGACTGCCAAGGTACGAAAGGACAGAAATAAAATTACAAAGAACATTTCTTCATTTGATTCTTCTTTGAATCAACTTATAAAGTGAAACAGAAGATTTTCATGAACTGAATGTAGATTAAGTTGAGCTCATCATCAACATATTATAAACTAATTTGAGATCCTCCAAATTACACAGAGTAATGCACAAAGAAATGCCATCCCAGGATTAAGGAGTGCTGAATCATAAAAGATACTTTATAGAGATTTTCTCACCCCAAATCATTTTTTAATTATACAGAGTTTTGTGCCTTTCTAAATGTTTCTTACTAATCTGGTTCCTGAGACTGATAGAAGTTTCTAGAAATCTTTATTCATCATAAGTCCATGACTGATTTCCGAAAAGCAACATTTATTTCAATACGCAGAGAAAGTCACTTATGTGTTCTGAAATTGTAAAATCAAGGTATATAGAAAAAAATATATTCAGTATATTATGTAGCTTTGAATATTCACCACTGATAATAAATAATCTCATATTATACTTCAAAATTGCAGACCAATGTAATATTTTCTCGAAAAGCATCAATTTGTCATATAAAATGGAATTTAGTAGCGGTTCTATACATTTTGTTAAAAATCCCTTGATATGAAAAATGTGAGCACATACAGCAAACGTGCTTATTAGACTTCTGTTTTGATGCATAAGTTCTTACCTTAGCTGTTTAAAAGCTTCTGCTTTCACGAGTGGTGTTTCTACAGAGTGTTCAAAAAGTGCTCCTTCAGGCCCTGGAAAGGAAAAACCCACTTGTACTGTAAAAGTTCAACTATTACAAATAGTGACAAGGAATTACAGCTACTTTGAGAACAGAAGAAAATACAAAAATATCTATTAATAACTGATGAAATAATTATTATACAGATACTGTTTTGCTATTACTGTATTGGCTGGAACTACAGAATACAGAGTTAATGTTAAAGTACAGGTGTAAAGAATTAAAATGATGTTTAATGAGTCTGAAGACAGACAAATGTTTTACTACTTCTGACAAAAAAATGTAAATAGGATTTTTACAATGCAAATTCCATTAGAATTAATAGAGATAAGTAAAACTCTACAAAACCTTTGCAAATATTACAGACTTACATAATCACATTAATTTTAGACTATAGCTAAGGATAAAAGGTCAATTTCCATCTTGTTTTAAGCTCTATAGGAAAGGCTGGGCATTTGATACCACTGGTACTCCGGAGAGAAAGACTTATCAACTGGCTTCTTCAGTTGTCAGGAGAAGGCCTCCTCAGCTTCTTCTTAAACAGGCTTTCTGCAGTACACACCACAGTGAGGCCCAAGTTGATCTGCCCTTTAATCCTGACCCATAAGTTCCCAGCTTCTTCCTCATCGGAAGTAAAGCACCACGAATTTCCGCTGCTCTCACAAGTAAAAAGGCAGCTCCCCCCTTGCCAGGCTGTCTTTCTTGGAGAACCTTTATTCCAGTGAAGTATTAGAGTGGCACATTTGACAACAGAATCAACTAAACCACAACAGCACCTTATCTGTATTTTGTAGCATCTCATTGCTGTAGATACAATTCTCTGAAACTGCCAGAAAACCAGTGCATATTGGAACATCTCCATGGAACCTAATGATGTGACACTGTTTCAGTGCCATTAAATATCTAGTATTGCAATTGTATTTTTATAGATTTTCCTGTTATATACATGTGCAAAAAAATCCCAAATTTCAAAAATCCCATATTGACTTGCAATAAACCAGACAGATTGCATTATTATAAAGATGTAGGAAGAATACAATCACTTCCATTAATATTTTGCAAAAGTACTAATAATAGGTATTCACAGAAATATGAAATAACGTATCTAGATATCAAAGTAATTATCAGGTAATAAAAGGTAAGTGGAGTTCAGCAGTTTCTCTATATGAACACACTCTACTATGTTATGCTGACAAATTCACAGAATGACAGAATGGTAGGGGTTGGAAGGGAACTTTGGAGATCATTCAGTTCAAGCCCCTGCTAAAGCAGGTTTCCTACAGTAAGCTGCACAGGAAAGCATCCAGGTGGATTCTGAATATCTCCAGAGTAGGAGACTCTGAAGCCTCTCTGGATAACTTGCTCAAGCACCCTGTCTCACTCAATAAATAATGACATCAAAATGAAAATAAATGTGTCTATATCTTGTGAGTTTTGTTTCCACATTAGACATCACCAGCATGGATAGAGTCTGTGTTCTGCCTGCTTTACATTTAATTCATCTGTCATCTTTAGAATTCCATACAATAGCTATAGCTCATCACCAACTACCTGTAGTTTTGAAACTGATTCAAGTGGATTTAAAGGTTAAATGTATGGATGTTTCTATCACTGGCTTTGTGGTATAACATGAGAAATTCAGTTTTACTCTTTCTCATACATTCATCTGAAAGTCAAGAAGCTGAGGTACCGGAGTATGAAAAGTGAGTATGAAATACTAAGGTCCCCTAGAAGACTAATTAAACATCATCATCTGCACTCTTCTTGCACCTTTTTTGTATTCAGAAAAGCACTGGTTATGACATTATTAAATACATCCATATCTTTAAATTGCAAATGAGATGACAAGCTTGGTTGATAAAGGTAAAAGTATGGGCGTAATAAATTTCCATAGGCATTTACTTTGATGCTACATCACATTTTGATTAAGAGATTACAGCAACACAAATCAGCCTGGAATGCATTACATGGATTAAAATTGGCTGATGGGCCTTAAACGTAATTGCAAACAGAGAACCACGAGTGAAGGAATGTGTTACTAGTGGGGCCAAATGTGATGTAACATTTATTCATGGATTTATATTTTTAAAATGATGAATTCAGGTGATAAAGATACTGTATGTGTAAGAGGGAATTAGAAGATTTATTTATATATTCTAGAGCGTGCACCTCTAAGAAAAATTAAGACCTTGCCTTCCTGTGAGGAAACGTCTTCATTAAATAACAGCATTAAGTACGGTACACATACTGAAGAAAATCACCTCACAGTAATACTTTTTGGAAGATGACCTGAATTGATTTCTTGCGTACTTTATAACTACTTTATTTATACAAAGGAAAGATAAAGCTTTAAGATTTGATATGAATATTACTATATTTGGTATTTTATAGAATATAAGAGCAAGATTTTTTTAATGAGAGGATTGAAGCCAATATGTTTCATTAACACCCCCAGTACACACAAGCCATCAAGCAAATGCTATCTTCCTATTTAAAGACTGACAGATTTTTTTTTTGTCACATACTTAGCTTCTGAGCAGAAGCATTTAAATTTAACAAGAATCTTCATATCATGTTTCAGTATAGCTGTTTACACTGAAAACCCTCCCACACAGCACTAGGAAACAAAATGGTTTTTTAAGTGTGTTAACTCAGCCACTGTATCAAAGTGACCTAAATGAGCCACTGAGCTCATCATAAAGAAGACCTCATTGTGGCCTTCCACCAACAGAGAGCTAATAAACAGAAGAAAGGCAGACTTTTTTCATGGGCAGATTGTGATAAGACAAGGAGGAGTGTATTTAAACTAAAAGAGGAGAGATTTAGATTAGATTACTCGGCAGAGATACGCCAGCACAGGCTGCCCAGAGAGGTTGCGGATGCCTCATCTCTGGAGACATTCAAGAACAGATGGATGAGAGGGGCTTGGAACTGGGTAGGATTTAAGGTTCCTTCCAACCCCAGCCCTTCTACGATTCTATGAAGACAACTGTACTTCATCAGCAGAAGAGATATCTGCCTAGGTATCCCCTACAGATGTGAGCCAAATCATACTGCAGGTTACACTGGCTGTTGAGTGAGGGTCCAGTTCAATTGTCTGAACACGTACATCTGGATCTCTGGGGTATCCAAAACTCTTTGCTGATCATCACTTTTCCCATAGATTTGGTCCTCTTGGAAGAAATGGGAGAAACACTGCTACAATTTCATTCTACTACATGTAACAGAAAATGACTGGACTGAAATAGCATGAGGTCAAGCATACCAAACTGCTGGAAAATGACAGTTCCGGAGGTGTTGGGTTGGATTTGCTTTTCCTTAGACTTTCATTTTTTTCCCGAAATCACTGACATTGGTTCTCTGCTACACTGTATTTTAGTTTAAAACCGCCATGTTTTCTTATAATTACCAACATTTTCACAATTCACATAAATCACAGAATCATGGAATCACAGAATGGTTTGGGTTGGAAGGCTCCTTTAAGATCATCTAGTTCTAACCCCCTGCTATAGGCAGGAACAGCTCCCACTAGACCAGGTTGCTGAAAGCCCCATCCAGCCTGGCCTTGAACACCTGAGAAGTAAAACCAAACAGCTCCCCATATTGCATATAAAAAACTGCAAAATGTTCTTTGTGTATTTTAAGCCCTATAGAGTCTGTTTCTGCATAAATTTTCCAGTTGATCTTCCTCTCTATCAAAAAATGTTTCAAAAATTTATCTCAGTGCATCAAGTATTACTAATTTATCCTTCATGGTAATAGTATCATTTAAATCACAATTTTAATAAATAAGTTTGAAGCATAGTAGGCATGAATCTCTTCTCACTAATGTTAATTTTACACTGAAATAACCTCACTGACTTTAACGGATTTATTTTTGACTTGTACTACAGTGTAGAAAAGAAACGAGCAATGTGTGTTTCTGCAGCATCTACTAAAGAAAACAGTTATCCTTGTAAGATTCATATTGACAAGTCAGAATACATGTTTAAGCATAACAATCTCTATTCATGTACAAATTATTTTACTTTGAGCAGAGAGAGATCTTTTCTAAATCAGTTAACAATTATGCAGTTTTTCTTATCTTTGTTAAACATGTTTTTCTATTAAAGTTTAGCATCCCTTGGGCAAACAATAATCATTTGATATGGTTTCCTGGTTAAACAAAGTTGTATTTTCAATTAGGTTAAAAAGTAAAAAAAAAAAAAAGAAAAAAAAAGATAAAACCTTCAGGCATAAACAAAATTTATTAACACATTTATTATATCTCAACCTTTGCTTTGAAACATGAATCATGTGCTTAATATCACATCTGCAGTTCTGCACAGTGAAATAATATGAATCGATCCATCAAAATTAAGACCTCAAGATTTCAGAGGATCAATAATTAGCAAAAATGATAGTTGCAATAAAGTTAAAAATATTAAAAATGTAACTGAAAGCAAGTTACAGGATTATTTCCGTATTTTCTTTGACAGAGTCCTCCAGATAAAGGGAAATCACACACTGATGTATTTGTTTTAATGCACCCTTAATCCTGGAAAATGAAGGTTGATTTTATCAGGTCATATAAGAGGAAACAGCTTTTTGTGTGACAATTTTGACATTGTACTTTGTAAATGAGTACTTCAGTGATTTGCAGAAATAGCCCAAAGCAAACCTGTCTTTTGACAGATGACATTATAAATACACTATAAATACTATAGTGAGACATATATACTACACATAGAGCTGAAATACAGTGGCTTTCACCTTGAAAGAAAAAAACATATAAAAATGCCAGAGTCTAAAACATTTTAAGAAACAATACAGCTGATTTTTCAAATTGAAATGTGCAAGATTTTTTTCATCGTCATTTAAAAGTATGCTCTGAAAATGTTAAATAATTTAGAAAAAATATGCAAGTACAGTTCCAATCACTAACTATGCTTGAACATGGCATTAAATTAAATTGAAATACATATGTAGGCATATATGCATTCTTATATACACATATTGGTTTTCCCTTAAAGCTTTTGATTATTTATTGGAAAAGTTAGAATACTTTCAGATATGTAGTTTCCAATAAGTTAAACTCAGTATTTTTTAACATTTTTAACATGGCTCATTTTAAAATTATTTCATTATTCACATGGTTATTAGTTGGGCATTTCTTAAGCTGCTACAAACCTGTGACTCGAAGTTTATCTGTTCCAATGACAACCTCATTTTCATCTACTGTAAAAAGTGGCTTGCCATCCTTTGAGTTGATCTGAAATTGCTGGCCGTGGAATTCTACCATTTTAGGACCTGCAAAACACAGTAGAATAATGAAATAATTACATCAGCTTTCTTTAACTTCCTATATAAGTTGCTAACCACGTTGTGGTCTTAATTTTGTGACTTATTTAACAATTAATGATCATGAAGCATTCAGACAGTGGCTCTGGAAGTACCGAAACTGAATGCGCATACTCACATTTTCCAACCTGTTGTTCAAAACTGTGCCTGGAGTCATGTTATCAAGTTGGGTTTCAAGACAAAATTTAGGAAATTCCTCTCAAATTGGTCAAGACAAACAATGCCTCATTGAACCATTTGTATTCTTGGTGTTGAAGCTGCTTTGATCTGTGTGAGTATAGCAGTTTTTCTTTTTTTTAACATAGAAAATAATTAACAAAGTAATCCCTTTTCATTAGGGAAGCTCAAATGCTTTAAAATCCAGTAAAAGGGCAGGACCCTCAGCTGCCAGTTTAGCTCTGTGTATCTAACAAATATTATCCTGTCATGTTCTTAGAGGATTTTCAAAAAGCTGGGAGTATTGTCAGTTGGATTTTGTGTGCAAGAGTCTTTACGTATCACAAGATCCTAAGTCCAGTAAAACATTTTGTTCTACATTTTTTCTTGGTGAGTAAGTATAGACTTAGGCCTTTATATTTCTCATTTTAAACAATTAGATCAATTAAAAATTCACATCACATAAGTTTGAGTATCTGTTTAATAGAGTCATCATCAAATTCTATGTTCAGAATGTAAACTGTAGATAATTGTAGATAATGCTCTTCTATAAAGCTCCTTCCAAACACATGCCTTCATTTCTGAAATTGCTAAAAGAGCTCAGAAGATACCAGAGAATACCAGAAAATACCAGAGAAAAGGTGTTACTCACAGGCAGGTAGGTAAATGAAACAAACGTGGTTCCATATTAATGCTTTAGTAGAGAACTGTGGTTGATTTGTTATTTCCGTTCCTGTCCAGAAGCAGTAAAGAGCGTGATCTTTTGTTTATCCAAACAAATAAAAAACTGGCTGTTACTGTCTTTAATTGCTATTGCAATGGCAGTCTTTTCTTTCCTGCCTTTCATCCACCAACCACAATTACACTGCACAGAATGACTTTGGGATACACAAACCTAAGCCTCTCCTATCTGACATGATAGAGGTCAGATGATTCAGGGATGCTGAGGATACAGTTGATTTAGGAGTGATTTTCTGTCTCTTTTATTAAAGAAGGTATATTTGGAGGTATAGAAAGGAAGGTATTATTTGGAGCTTTTATATCCTAAATAGGAATGAAACCTAAGAGACCAGCTTCCATGGTCCATAGCCAGCTGTAGAACTAATGGAGAAAAGTTGTGCTTGCCACCATGTCTTCTGATCCTGGTTATCACTGGAGCTCATTCTAAAAATCATGCAGTAGACGAGATAGAAATGTGAATGCTAATTTCTTTCTCATGCGAAGGTTAGACATTTTTGTTTTCAGGATTCTAAGTCTTTTGGTAGGTCTGGAATGCCTAAAACAATTTTTGTTGTTGTTGTTATCTAAGAATATTTACTGTTTAAAAGAATTTATAAGGAAGCAAGGATCCTGAAGATTGACATTTTGGTCATAAGTACTTTAGAGCAAATTAGGTGCCCAAAACCTTTGACAGGTTCAGTTCTAAGTTGTGAACTTTTATAGTATGTGAAATCTTTAAAATACAAATTGGAAGCTGGCGTAAGTGTATCTCAATTACTGTGAAAGCTTGCAAACGATATGGAGCATTATATCTAAAATGCAACTCAGAAATGTCTATCATTAATATATATTTCATTTTTATTTATTTGTACATGATCACAGAAAAATTCTTGATAATGATGAAGACCCTGTATGTTTAGGGGGAATCTACTGATTTCTTTGGTACAAAGGGAATCAGCTTTGAAAATAAATTGCTGGGTCTAAATAGCAGAATCTCTGCTCTTTCCTTCTCAACACCTTGGTAGATACAGAAGTTTTCACTGATTATAAATCACTTGAGAAAGAAAAAAGTAAATTTGAAAGAACTGAAGAAGTGTGGCATGATTTGCACCAGGCCTAACTTGATCTTGTCTATGAGTACATTTATCTTATTGATTTCCTAATTTGCTGAATCTATTTCACAAGCAATCTTGTCAAAAGAAGATTTTTCATGCCTCTCCTTGCAGGAAATGGAAAGAACTACCTCCAACAGAATGAATTGAATAATGTAATTCGTACACTTGCATATTGCTAGAAAATTGACATTTTTAAAAAATTAGATTATTATGGAATGTAGACTAATTCACTCTGCTTGTATATGCAGATATGCATATACATATGCTGTATAACTTTTGCTCAAATCTTTTGCCCGAATAAACTTGGCCCAAATTCCATTTTCTCTCATCTAACCAAAGCAAACAGGAACAGCCAACACAAACACGTGTTGTGCAGACCGACTTTCTCAGCCATCCTGTCTATTTAATACCAATTCTGGCATAAAGAACATCATACTGATACAACCAGAGCTGATGTATGTATTAGTTTAATTAATCTAGCCCATGTATACACACTCAGATCTAACAATAATTGGAACAAGGCTGAGATTCACTCTTTCTACTCCCAGCTAATTGTTCTTAACATTAGACCACATAATTATATTTTTGGTCCCTTCTCTACTCTACTCTATTAATACCTGATTATTCCAGTTAAAGCAGTATACCTTTAACAGTAGAAATGGTAGGTGTCCTACACTAAAATAATGAGATATAGGAAGAAAAATATACTCAGATAGAAGAGAAACACAAGGCAAAACAGTATTTATAGATAAGTGCTCATCCTAGATGAGCTCCAAGTTCTAACAAGATAATATCTATACTAATAAATTAGAGAGAGCCAAGGCAGAGGAGACACATGCATCGCCAATTTCTGTTACTCTATGTTCCTTGGCACAGCCTAGACCTGTACTACACTGAGACCTCCAGACAATGTATGGCTTAGTGCTGCTCTTCCCAGACAGGATAAATGAAGTTCTCCAGCTCTGGAGGAAAGAGGGTTTAGCTGTACAAAGAAAGTTATGATATGCCATCTGCCTCTGCAGCAAACAGTGTGTCCTGGCCTGTTCTGTTTGATGCCTTAATTTTTTTCCTCTGAGCAAGCTACAGGAATCTAAACGCTGAATTTAAGCACGCAGAGGGGCAGTTACCCAGCATCTAAGATGGGCGCATAGTGAACTACACACATTATATTTTAAAGCTATACGTAAATAAGAAAAAGTGTGACAAGCAATGAAAACATTCAATCTCCACTACATGCATTCCTAAAGACTCTAGAGTGGAGGCTGTTTGAAAAACACCAAACAATGGCCTTGCTTATGGTGGATTTGCATCCAGATTTTTCTTCTGGTCCTTGCAAACTTGATTAAATCTTTAACAAAAGCCATGTTCCATGGCTTTCTCAACACAAATGCACCAGTAAAGTGGAACAAGGACTGTCCATTAGATAATCATCATTATGAAAGAATGATATGGATAACATATTACTTACTTTAAATCTTTGAATAGTATGCTAGAGTAAGCCAAACTAAAACATACGTTTCAATCTTAGGGAAGAGACGGCTTAGTATGTGTGGAACAAATTTCCCAAACCCAAAAATAGACTTTTAAAGAAATGGAAATATATTTCTTAAATCGAAAGTAGCACTGGATATCTTGCAATACCATTGATTGTATTGTGATCCCCAAAGGATTAATTTTCAGCTCAAAACCAGCAACCTAATTCAACATCTGAAAGATTAATCTCTAATTTTCTAAACGTATTTTGTTTAGCAGCCTAGTATATAAACCCTAGTATGCATGTACCCTACCTGTAAGTAAAATAATGCTATTTAATTATGCTTCCTATTAAAATACTACAGTTAAAACTGTTACATGACTGAGCATAGGTTGTAGAAAGCAGTTGAACTATTTTGCCATTTCTGCCAGAGGTGCCACACAAATTTTCAGGTGAATGGGTTATTCTTGCTGTTTAGGATGACTAATAATTGCCCATTGTTACTTTACATTTCCTCCTTTAATACAAGCAGCTCTGAAGCAGACCTCAAGTGATCATCACATCATCACGTACCTCCTGACACTGAGGATGCCAGTGCAAATGATGAAAAATGGCCCTTTAATAAATGCGTTTATTCTAAGGCATGTGACCTTCCAGTTTTTCCAGTAGTGCATTGCCATAAATCTCTGCAAATGGGCACACTGCTAAGCTGTCTTCCTTTCTGTTTCTTCTCCTCACTCCTGACCCCCCTGGCTGGTTTTCCAAAGAAGGAAAGTCTTATGCTTCATGATTCCATTTTGGTATAAAAGCATTTGAAGTACTTCCCTTTTGTTGCTACCAAACCTTTGAGTTCCAGTGCAATATAAATATAGAAGGGTTTTCATCAAAAACAAGGCCTGCCTGCTAATACTTACTCACAAAGACTTAACATCAACAAAATTGGTAGTATGTAGGTAAATTCTTCAAAACCAGTTAGTTCTGCCTAGCATTAAGCACTTCTAGTGCATCTTCAGATTTCATGGAAGAAGAGGCTTTCAAGCACTGAGTTTTTCTAATATCAGATCTTTTCTTACCAAGTATAACTTTGATAATTTATGGCTGTCACCTGCTCTGTGTGCTTCATATCCCTCCTACCACCCAGAATCATAGAAGTTTTGAACATAAGACAAAATCCCAAGTGCTTTGGGGTATTGCTATGCAATTGAATTTTTTAGTTGATTATTATATTAAAACACCTTATTTAAAATAAGATCTCATTAAAAGTGCATTAAAAATGTAATACTCCTACAGATTCAGTTCTAGCTCTGTAAGTAATAAAGTACCAATAAATGCAAAGCCATTACATTTAGAGCCATAAAATTAATCAAATTTTCATATGGAATGGTATGGAAGTGCCTGGTGATCTCTTATTGGAACAAATACATTATTACAGAGTACATGCAGCATATTGGGTATATACATTTTATCTCCGTATCATATATCTC